CCTCCTCCAAACACGGCGAGTTGAGTTGATGCCAAAGAGCTCGATTTTGGTCTCATCTGACCACAACACTTTCACCCAGTTCTCCTCTGAATCATTCAGATGTTCATTGGCAAACTTCAGACGGGCCTGTATATGTGCTTTCTTGAGCAGGGGGACCTTGCGGGCGCTGCAGGATTTCAGTCCTTCACGGCGTAGTGTGTTACCAATTGTTTTCTTGGTGACTTATCCCAGCTGCCTTGAGATCATTGACAAGATCCTCCCGTGTAGTTCTGGGCTGATTCCTCACCGTTCTCATGATCATTGCAATTCCACGAGGTGAGATCTTGCATGGAGCCCCAGGCCGAGGGAGATTGACAGTTCTTTTGTGTTTCTTCCATTTGCGAATAATCGCACCAACTGTTGTCACCTTCTCACCAAGCTGCTTGGCGATGGTCTTGTAGCCCATTCCAGCCTTGTGTAGGTCTACAATCTTGTCCCTGACATCCTTGGAGAGCTCTTTGGTCTTGGCCATGGTGGAGAGTTTGGAATCTGATTGATTGATTGCTTCTGTGGACAGGTGTCTTTTATACAGGTAACAAACTGAGATTAGGAGCACTCCCTTTAAATGTGTGCTCCTAATCTCAGCTCGTTACCTGTATAAAAGACACCTGGGAGCCAGAAATCTTTCTGATTGAGAGGGGGTCAAATACTTATTTCCCTCATTAAAATGCAAATCAATTCATAACATTTTTTACATGCGTTTTTCTGGATTCTTTTTGTGTTATTCTGTCTCTCACTGTTCAAATAAACCTACCATTAAAATTATAGACTGATCATGTCTTTGTCAGTGGGCAAACGTACAAAATCAGCAGGGGATCAAATACTTTTTTCCTTCACTGTATGTGTTCACAGAAACATGTATGGAGCCAGCACATGGAGACTTGCTAGATGATGTGATGAAGTCCAGACTGACAGATGGGCTTGATACTGATGTCTCTGAATGGAGAGAGAACTGGCACTCGGCATTAACATTTTACTAGACAACTTTTACTTGTATTGTCTTTATTGGCAGTCAATATGGGGAGGGAGAAACACTGTGTATTCTGAACCAGGATCAGGGAACTCCTGTTGTATACGGGACACCACAAAGGAAGGTATGACCACTGACATGTTTGCCAAGGTAGCCCCATTACCACCTGACAAAATGCTGATAGGCACAGTATCTGTTTCGATTGAGAATGACAATGAAAGGTGCACATTGTTATATTAGCAGAAAACTGCTTCTATGGTATTATGTAAAGGGTGGTTTAGCCTACATGGACCTGTTACTTCATTTGAAAGTGATCAAACCACTTAATTTAGAATATCTACATAAATTCAGCAATTGCATTCTTCTCATATTACTCTGTAGGCTACTGACCTATTCAAAGGTAATTTGCTGTCATTTGATTGCTGTTTTGTTTCATATTGTGTTTGATTGTTGTGATCAAGCCATCATTGTGAATGAGACTCTGGTCTCAATGGGTTTTCCCTCAATAAATAAAGAATAAATAAATAAAAGCTTCCTCCAGCATCTCACCATACATTTGTCTGTTATTGAACTCAACCTGCAGGAGGTTTGTTTGTTGTGATTGAGTGGGGGGAAACCGCTGCGGGCAAGGTTCTGTCAGATGGGTGACAGAGGTGGTGGCAAGGGCACACCCAAGAAACAACCACATCAAACCTTCTGTCATTGCCGCCAGCATTTCTTGAGGAGTAAGCCCAAAAAAACAGGCCAAATCAGCGGGTGCAGTTCCCCTTTAAATAATATTTTTTGGAGTGGCGGCAATGATTTAAATGAATATCGCGGAAACACTGTACTTGGAGGTGTGTGCAGTGAGGCTGCAAAGCAGCAAACTGTTTACATTTCTAAAGTTCTTTCTGAGAAACATTGATGTGCCTGTTTCTTGTTTCCATTTTTGTTTAAAAAAAGGGAAATGTTCTTCCTTTGCTGCTTGATATTGTGAGAAATCATTCCAGTATTTCACAACCATAAAACCAAGGCTAGAGATACACTAAAGGGCTTTTCACACTACTGAGCCAGACCGGGCTGTTCTTAGTGTTCTCCCTGTACACCAAGTCAGAACCGTAGGATAAATAAAGTGGGCATATGAGCAGACAATGAAAGCTCTTACAATATTCGATGATTACATTTCTCTACAACAGGTTATAGGCTACATGTGCATCACCAAATCAGAACAGTAGACGAAATTAAGAGGGGAAAATAGACCAAATTATTAGGGTGAGGCACATGGGCTACTAACAGCTTACTACACAACATACACTTAGTATTACTTTCTTAGCTACAGTATACATATCTCCCTGGCATATTACATCATTTAGGCAGCAGCATACAAAACATTTTTGGACTCACCTTGTTGTGCTCACTTGAACAGGAAGGTGGCGCGGCGGTCCTTTGTGGACAATTTTGTCATCAAACTTAGTAATCAAGCACTGAGCTAGGCTGAAACACCTGCATTTTGGAGCTGCCTTACTCAAGAAAGCAAAAAAGAGACCATGTTTGTATGTGGCTTTATTAACTCAATGTTTTTGTTGCTGTTTTTTTACATTGCAAACTGATATGTGACACGTATTAATGCCAAAATAACATGCAAAACAGGCAAGATGTATGACGGGTCGCCACTGGCTGGACCATCTAGCGATAGCTACCACAAAAGCAGGTTTTGGCGCTTTGCGATACTAAGACCAAATCGATAACTACCTTACATGATATTAAAACACAAGTAACCTGACAAAATAGGCTATTCATTTCTGGTGAAAAAACACGCAGATATTGAAAGAAACACCCAGACTGTAGCATAAAGTACACTATATATACAAAATCGAGCACACAGCCATGCTGTAAGTGCTGTTATTGTGAAGTGCAAACGTCTAGGAGCAAAAACAGCTCATCCGCGAAGTGGTAAGCCACACAAGCTCACAGAACAGGATCGCTGAGTGCTGAAGCATTGTCTGTCCTCGATTGCAACACTCTCACTACCACTCACTACAAACTCACTACCGAGTTCCAAACTGCCGCTGGAAGCAACGTCAGCACAATAACTGTTCGTCGGGAGCTTCATGAAATGGGTTTCCATGACCAAGCATCCGCACACAAGCCTAAGATCACCATGCGCAATACCAAGCGTCAGCTGAAGTGGTGTAAAGCTCGTCGCCGTTGGACTCTGGAGCAGTGGAAACGCGTTCTCTGGAGTGATGAATCACGCTTCACCATCTGGCAGTTCGACTGACGAATCTGGGTTTGGGGGATGCCAGGAGAATGCTACCTAACCCAATGCATAGTGCCAACTGTAAAGTTTGGTGGAGGAGGAATAATGGTCTGGGGCTGTTTTCATGGTTCGGGCTAGGCCCCTTAGTGAAGCGAAATCTTAACGTTACAGCATACAATGACACTCTAGACAATTTTGTGCTTCCAACTTTGTGGCAACAGTTTGGGGAAGGCCCTTTCCCGGTTCAGCATGACAATGCCCCCGTGCACAAAGCGAGGTCCATACAGAAATGGTTTGTGGAAATCGGTATGAAAGAACTTGACTGGCCTGCACAGAGCCCTGACCTCAACTCCATTGAACACCTTTGGGATGAATTGGAACGCCGACTGCGAGCCGAGCCTAATCGCCCAACATCAGTGCCTGACATCACTAATGCTCTTGTGGCTGAATGGAAGCAAGTCCCCGCAGCAATGTTCCAACATCTAGTGGAAAGCCTTCCCAGAAGAGTGGAGGCTGTTATAGCAGCAAATGGGGGACCAACTCCATATTAATGCCCATGATTTTGGATGATGATGTTCGAGTAGCAGGTGTCCACATACCTTTGGTCATGTAGTGTTTCTTGTCCCCCGTCCACTCACTCAGAACGCAGACTAATGTTGATGACGCCTCCATTGAAGTGCATGATGGGTAATGTAGTTCAGGCCAAATATTCTCACAACAATAAACAAGTAGGCTTCTGCATGTTGGATTTGTAGCTTTTTTAAATCTAATTTACAAACATGTCTGAAGCAAATCGACATGTTGACATAAAGCTGCACATCACATCAACATGATTTCAGTTAATCAATGTCGAATTCAACAAGTCTCTACTCAATGGTGATGAATATTAGGACTACAAATCCATATAATAAAGAAGTGATGCATTAATCATACCATGTATACTTGCAACTGACAACACAAAGCCAACCTACCACAAAATGTTAAGCAAATACATCTATTTATGAGAGCCATCTATTTATGAGAATAACTCCTGACTAAGACACTCTTAAATAATCAATCTCATTGCTGAAAGTTACATTTTGTATATATCCAGGTGTACATTCTACATATAAACAGTCACAGCATTTTATCCAAACAAATCAAACTATGTATGCGTACATTCTGTTCTATTTACACTGTAGTAAAGGCATGCTGTCCTCTTTTGCATGTGGTGCATAAGTGGCTGGGTGGTATGCGCATGCGCAATAGTGCAGCTTTTTATAGCCACAGTGCGGCAGGAAAACCGTAACAAGCGAAGAAAAGCATACATTGAATAGTGGAGAAAAAAAGCTATCCAATTGGGAAAATGTAAAGGAAGATGAAAAGAACAAAGACTTTGAAGAATGGGAATGTTTTTTCCTCTCTATCTGAAGAAAAGATGCGTCTTTCTCTCTGAGATTCAGAAATAGGTTGACAGCTATTCAGCGAGCCCCATTTCAAATGGTAGCAGCAGAATGGATGGAAAATACAAGGAGAGCCACTGCTTCCACGATTCATTTTGACTCAAAGGAGTAGGACAATACCTTACCGATGGCTTGCAGTCAATTCTCCATGTCTCCTCCAACGAATTGTAAATTGACGTAGGCATTGAAGGCTGCAAATCAAGTCCAGTTTGGTGCATTAAATTCCTTTGGTGGGATGTCATCGACTTCTATTGCTACATAGTAACCATTGGGTTTCCGACGGCTGGTATTGACACTTCAGGGTGTTATGATGGGTGAAGTGACCGACGCCAAGGAATTAAAAAATACCTTTATTGTTCCCGCAATAAAGTCTTTTGATCGTTATGATTTTTCACGAGCAAAAATCTGCTGTAGTCTCACATGGCTAGTGGCCAAAGCATTTGGGACAGGTTGGTGGTTTAAATATTTATTCCCTGCAATATTATCGCTCAGCTATACAAATAACATCACACACCATTCAAGCTTGCAATATAATACTGTACAATTATATTGTATGTATATTACAATATGTATATGTATGTATATTAATAATGTATATTGTTGTACAATTGATTTATATGTAGTATTTATATAAATAAATGTTGAACCACTTTATTTAGATTCCCCAAGAGGAGAATATCCTTCCATAACAAACACACATATGTAATTCCCAAAGAGACCTATGCTAAGAAAAATAACTGTTGCATGATAATTTCCTATCTAGTTCAGTTCAGTAGCAGTGGGCTATAAACATTAAGGTGTGAAGGGATGCCACAAATGATCTCATCAATCTCAACAGATTGTGGATGTCTCCTGCTTGAGAGCTGTGACCCTGAGTATGACAGGCCCACTCCATAACATCATATCTAGATGGGCATAATGTAGTAACATTCATTGTCACATGGTTATTGTTGTACCATGGTTATCAGTAAGCTTACAGTAGGCAAATGTGACTCATATTACATAATAGTAATGAAATAGTACCTAATAGGGTTCATATTTGGGGTTAGGCCTATATCTACAGTAGACCTACTACTGAATTAGCCACAAATTTTACTTTTATGACTGTTTAACATAGTTCAAAGTATTAGAAGAGTAATAGGAGTCACATTTGGATGGCCAATAGGTTCTTCAATAAAGACAACAGTTGTTTTATTAATGTGGTGGTATGACCAAATAAGTTATTTTTTATATAAACTCAAACAGACTGATGTGAATCATCGCAGCCCAAATGTTTTCCACCTCAGTCCGTTGCTGTAAATTGCATTGAGTCTCAATGGTCACTGAAGAAAATAATAGAGAGCTTCTGACTCATCTGTGCAGCAAGGCCCAGCTCAATAAAGTGGAATGTAGGGGCTGGTTTCCCTGATACAAATTGAGAGTAGCCCTGGACTAAAATGCATGTTCAATAGTAGGAGATTCTCCACTGAAACTGCATTTTAGGCAAGGCTTAATCTGTGTCTGGGAAAATGGCCCTAGGGGGCTTTGCAATGCATTTTAGTTACTGCACCTTGAGTTTATTTTTTATTTAACTAGGCAAGTCAGTTAAGAACAAATTCTTATTTACAATGACGGCCTATACCGGCCAAACCCGGACAACACTGGGCCAATTGTGAGCCGCCCTATAGGACTCCCAATCACGGCCGGTTGTGATACAGCCTGGAATCGAACCAGGGGGTCTGTAGTGACGCCTCAAATACTGAGATGCAGTGCCTTAGACCACTGCGCCACTCGGGAGCCCATTCCAGTGTCATTGAGTGTCATTCCAAGGCATGTGGTATTGCTATAAGCCTGGTAGTCAAGGGGACAATGCCTGACGTTTGAAAGCAGTTCTAACAGCACATGTTCTGATATAAAAGTTGTTCCTATCTTATACTTATTTGATCTGTTTTGATCCTTCGTTTTGTTTTGTTTTTGGTAATAGCCAGCAGTTTGCCAGAGGCTCAGGATTGTGCTGTACTCGGTGTACTCAAACCTACTGTTTACTAAATTGATGGGCATATAGCAGAGGCAGAGATTACTTCGCTAGAGGAACAAATATATAATTGTGTTTAATATAATAATATGCCATTTAGCAGACGCTTTTATCCAAAGCGACTTACAGTCATGTGCGCATACATTTTTACGTATGGGTGGTCCCGGGGTTCGAACCCACTACCCTGGCGTTACAAGCGCATGCTCTACCAATTGAGCTACAGAGGACCACAAAGACATGCTCCGGTATGTTGGCGACAATGTTATTTTTTTTTACCTCCTGCTTTGGGCTGGATGTGTCAATGTGTAGTTCATACATGCATAATCTATTGACAGAATTACAGTCTTACCTCAATTAGCCATGAAATCCCTAGTTTGAAAGTGACCGCTTTCTTGAAGCTGTGCATAGCACATAAACAATTGTATAATGAGAGACAGAAAATCTATGGAATCCAGACATTTTGGTGGGACTTAAGGTATTCAATTGAATGTCAAATATCATTTTTTCTTCTTCTTTGAAATGATACATGCCAACATTTTTAAATGACAGATGGCCTTTTTATATTTATTTTATTATATTGCTAGAATAATAATGTTTGAAAATAACAACTAATTTGGGTAACACACTGTCATAACCATGTCATAATGTGTCGTAACAGCTGACATAACTTGTCATAACCTGTTATAATATTGTCATAACACTGTCATGACACATATTTAGACCTGTTGTGAGATATATTGTGTTATTTTATGGCTGGTTATGACACCTACATAAGAATGTCAAAACCCACAAAACCTACCACACAAGGCAAAACATTCCATTACACCATAGCCTACTTCTCAACAGTATGTTTATGTTATATAACATTTTCTGAAATTTACAATATTCAATTATCATTGTAATTGCTTACACATTGATGTCAGACATGCACCTACCCCAATGCTCTGTTGACTGATGACTGACATAAGGGCATGTACGTGATAGGCCTATCTGGCTTATGTGATTATGATGGTCGTAATTCTTCATGATAGTGTCATAAAGTGCATTTTCTACAAGTTAGTTAAAATATGATGGAAAAAAAACATGACTGTAAAGAATTCATTACAACAACAACAACAAAGGATTTGAGAAACAAACTTTCAAATGAAAGGAAACTTCTTGGCAGGGAAAAAACACATTTGAATAAATGTGGGGTTTGATAGTATTATGTAGGTGTCATAACCAGCCATAAAATAACACAATATATGTCACAAGAGGTGTAAATATATGGGTCATGACAGTGTTATGACATATTACGACATGTTTATGACCATGTCATAACGTGTTATGACACTGGGTGTCAAGTAAAGTGTTACCCTAATTCCCATCTACATATAGGCAGAATTTCATAAATTAGCATGAAATAACTCTCTATCCAATCAGCTCTTTCTAAGGTACCACCCCAAGTGAATTTGTAACGCCCCTCACAATCTCCCATCAACTTTCACCATGGCTTTCTCCCAAAGACGTGCGACATTACTTATTCATGTTTGATGTCATCTAGAATATTAAACAAGGCGAAAATGTTTTGTACCAAAATAGTACCCACCTGTTATGAGCATAAACATATATCACTTTAGAATTAACCAATGCATATTTATTTGACAATAGGGGAAAGATAAAAAAGTTGTGCGATTGATTTAGATATGTGGATTTTTCATGTCGGCTTTCTTTTCTGAGTGGTGACTGTTAACATTGTAATCTAATTTTCTATCCCACGAAAGGGAACACTTACTAGACCGTTTTCTCTTCTTTCTTTTCATGTAGTTGCCGTGTCAGTGCATTTAATCCCCATCGATAAATCAACTTTGATAAACACGTGGGTCAAAACCTTTTAGTCCCATATCTACGATTTCCAATGATATCCCCATCCTTTTGAGACATCGTTTCACACTTTTCCCCGATAGAAAAGTCCAAGAGAAAAGGTGATTTGCACAAGTAATCGTATGAATATTGTCAGTTTCTATTTGAAAGCAATCAGAGAAGTGACAATTAGTTGACAAATGCATTATCCACTTCTCAGCCAAATGAAAGCTGAACAGAGCTGTATTCTCAGGTGGGCATGGCTTGAGCCTTGCTAGGTTGCGTGTAAAGCTAAAGTTTTAGTTTAGTTTATTAGGATCCCCATTAGCTACTGCACATGCAGCAGCTACTCTTCCTGGGGTCCACATAAAACATACAAATACAGAAAGTAATAGACAAGAACAACATAAGATATTATATTACACTCAATTGTTTTTATTTTTATAATAGTTATATATAGGAAAGACACCAAGCGACAACAAAAATACTATTTACACACTATATACATATTCGTATTCTTATATATAGTACAGTTAAATTAGATCTTTAGAAGGATCATGAAATCTGGACCAAATACATCCAGATGTGTGCTTTTGGGAGACTTGCATGGAGTATGAGCACTTCTATAAACCAATGTGCTTTGAAACTAGCACTGAACCTCAACAAGACATCTGTTTTGTATTCCTTTAAAGGTCCAATGCAGCCATTTTTATCTCAATATCAAATCATTTCTGGGTAACAATTAAGTACCTTACTGTGATTGTTTTCAATTAAAATGGTGAAAAATAAACTAAAATAGCTTCTTAGCAAATGTTGCTAGGACTGTCTCAGAGTGGTCTGAGTGGGGAAGGGAAAACTGAAAACCAGCTCTTATTGGCAGAGAGGTTTGGAACTCTCTTTCTTATTGGTCTGTTAACTAATTTACCGCCTGGTGATGTCACCAGGCAGGCCAAAACTCCATCCCACCAAAACAGGCTGATTTCAAACAGCTCTTACTCTAAAAGGGCATTATCATAATTTTCACAATTTCACAGTATTATTCCAACCTCAGTGTGGAAATATACACTATATATACAAAAGTGTATCCCAGAACAACAGCAAAGGACCTTGTGAAGTTGCTGGAGGAAACAGGTACAAAAGTATCTATATCCACAGTAAAACAAGTCCTATATCGACATAACCTGAAAGGCCGCTCAGCAAGGAAGAAGCCGCTGCCCCAAAACCGCCATAAAAAAGCCAGACTACGGTTTGCAACTGCACATGGGGACAAAGATCGTACTTTTTGGAGAAATGTCCTCTGGTCTGATGAAACAAAAATTGAACTGTTTGGCCATAATGACCATCGTTATGTTTGGAGGAAAAAGGGGGATGCTTGCAAGCCGAAGAACACCATCCCAACTGTGAAGCACGGGGGTGGCAGCATCATGCTTCTTTGATCAAGGTGGGCATTTTGGTGTAATCCTCTCGAAGGGCTCTAGCCCCACCTCTAAACCTAAGGCATAACGTTTTATGTTCAGATATAATTATGCTATCTAGAACAACGAAAATGCCTCTGACATCTAGAATGAAGAATCACGTTGGCTCTATTCATAGCATTTCTATCTGCAACGTTCCAAAACGTTTTCATACTGAACATGGCCCTGTCCTCACCTCTGTGGGAGTCACGCCCACCACCCCTCCTATTGGTCCTTTGTTCAGTTGCGTTCTCCTCAAGGCGTAGGTCAAAGTTGCCCCAAATGTAACCACTGATACCAGTTCAGATTTATTCTACATCCACATAATGGTTTAGGTGAGGATTATTGATAGGGTAATCTGATCCTAGATCTGCGGTCAAGAGAAACTTCTACCTCTAGGACCCTTTGGTGACCTTGATGTTGATCAGATCGCGTGTTTCTGTTATGAGCTGCTGACTTGGCCTGTCTGATATGGTTCGCAGAGTGGTGTGAGGGTGGGATAAGGAGTGTGAAGCTGCGAAAGCCTCGGTCACTGTGGCTTTACACACCCTCATCTTCATGAACACCCATCTGCTCCTTCTGATATGGGTGTGTTGCATATCCGGAGATCGGTGTGTGTGTTTGTGTGTGCGTGTGCGTGCGTGCATGTGTCTATGTGTGCGGGAGTATTGTAAAAAGTGTTACACCATGTAGCATTACAGGGTTGGGGTCAATCTCCTTTTAACCACACTTAGTTTGTTCTAATGTGCAGCCACTTGAGTGGTGTGAAAATCTGGTTATTTTCGTAGCTGTTTGAGCAATCTCAGAGTCTCTGGTTTTATACCTTCCTCATTTTCTCAACACCCTGAATTATTGAAGTCAGGCCCACTCATATCTGTCAGCTCGTGTGTGCCCGCCCGCCTGCACACACACACACACACACACACACACACACACACACACACACACACACACACACACACACACACACACACACACACACACACACACACACACACACACTCCTGTGTTATCCATCTCTCTCTTTGATAAAGCAGACTGAGGGAAGCTCCCTGGAAGTTAGAGAGATATGGAGTGCACATGAATCGATCAGGTTCCTCTTCTACTGTAGTTTCCATGGTAACGCACCGTGCGGTCCATCCATAGTGTATCTCCTATGGAGATCACGCCCATGTCTTTGGATGAGGAAAGAATGAAGTAGACTTGCCACAGTTAAACACTGAATTACCATCAGTCATGTAGTGAAATATCAAACCTTCAAATAACCCTTTCAAACGTGCTGATCTTCTAGATTCACTAATAGATTGATTCTCATCATATTAGAAATGTGACAAAAATACACTATGAGGTAATATGAGGTGGTTTAGGCTGACCTTCCACTTTGTTTATGCCTGCATGCTCTGAAACTGAAGCTCCTTCTCTGTATCATTCCTTAATTTCTCTCTCACATACTGTTAAGTGTTAATAAATTAAAATTGACTTGGATACAAAAGTCGTATTCATATTCATCGTTTTGAACCGTTCTCCCTCTCTGTCTCCTTCTTCTCTCCTATGCAGACAGTGTGCCCGCCGACCTGAAGGAGCCCTTCTACACAGACCAGTATGAGCAGGAGCACCTGAAGCCTCCAGTGGCCAACCTGCTGCTGTCTGCTGATCTCTACTGTAGAGCCGGGAGCCTCATCCTGAAGAGTGATGCCACCAAGCCCCTCATTGGCCACGATGATGTCATCCAGGCCCTGGCTCTGAAGGGCCTCTACATCACAGACCAGGAGAGGCTGGTCACAGAGCGAGACCTTCGTAAGAGGCCCATACAGATGGTAAGAAAGAGGTGTTGGGTTGAGGGTTTGGGGGTGGGGTATAGTGTGTGATAGTGGAGGATAGGGGGCCATCTTTGTTTTGGTTGTGGGTTCAGCTACTGTGGATTTCTTTCACATCAGATCAAATCAAATCAAGCTTTATTTATACAGCACATTTCAGACATGGAATGCAACACAATGTGCTTTACAGGAAAAAACAAATAAAAACAATGTAAATAAAAACTGAAATATTTATTACACAACAAACATAAGAGGATAAAAAACAAAATAATAACAATAAAAACTGAATGACTAAAAAGCACCCTAACATGCTGACCACACCGCCTGCGTCGCATGTGTGAGCATCGCAAAATAAATGTACACATACATGTTATTCAATCATTGCACCCACACTGCTCGCGTGCGTCAACGAGCATCTGCGTAGCCATGCGCTAAAATAGAACTTGGTTATATTTTTGACGCTTGACGTGCTGCAAATTACGCCTCATTGGTTTTTAGGAGCATATATCCTAAAGTGATTGAAAGATTAACTGAGGTCCACACTCCAGTCCAGTTGGTGGTGGTAATGCACCTTAAAGTTGGTTGCCAACCGCCATGTAAAGTACAAAAAAAATGAAAAACCCAGAAGGAGGAGAGATTACTAGAAACTAACTTGGTTTACCCTTTTATCTGTGGATTAATTGTCGGATAGAGGACCTTGTGCATTTCAGGTAAAATAACAACCCAATGTTTATATCCCAGGACAAATTAGCTAGCAACAGCAAGCTAGCTAGCTAAATTGCCATAAATGTTTAATGCTTTTCGACCTGTCCCCAAATTAATATAGTTGGTTCAGAGTTCATTTTGATATTTCAACCTGCGTGTCCTGATTGCGTCTGGTGTGGATGGACAAAATCAACATGCGCGCGTTGGTGCACGCGGACGCACGCACGCAGACGCACGCACGCAGTGTGGTCAGCATGTAAGGAAAATAAAAGCTTGTGTGTGTGTGTCTGTGCGTTTGTATATCTTCCTCTCTCCCTTTTCTCTCTTATCTTTGTACATCTCTATAGCCTCTATGTTTTATCAGTGTGTTGTCTCCATCTGCAGGGTTTAATTGACAGGGGTTCCCTCCCATGACGAATCAGGACACCATCATAAGCATTAGAATGGGAATCCCCCTAATCATTTCAAATCCAGCCCCACTATTTTTAGGGTCCTCCCCAGAGTTTATGTGGAATTTGAACCCTGTCTGACTGTCACTGTGTTTTTGTTTTGCTCCCTGTCCCCACTACTGTGGCTGTCTTTTTGTCCATCCACCCATATTCTCTCTACTGCTCTTTCTCTCTATTCCCCTGTTTTATCTTTCATTATCTTTCTCCCACTTTCTACCTCAGTTCTCTCTCTCTCTACCTCTCTCCATAAGGTTTTGGTCAAAAGTAGTGCACTATTTTGGGAAGGTGCCATTTGGGACTCAGATGGTATGTTGCTTCTTATTGTGATGCTTTGTTGAGGCACTACAGAAGTGACTAGGCTAGGCAGGCAGCCCTATTGAGATGGAATGAGATTATGTCTCAATTATGCTTTTAGATACAAATGTCAAATATACAAGTGTACAAAACATTATGGACACCTGCTCTTTCCATTACATGGACTGACCAGGTGAATCCAGGTGAAAGCTATGATCCCTTATTGATGTCACTTGTTAAATACACATCAATCAGTGTACATGAAGGGGAGGAGACAGGTTAAAGAAGGATGTTTAAGCCTTGAGACAATTGAGACATGGATTGGGTATGTGTGCCATTCAGAGTGTGAATGGGAAAGACAAAATATTTAAGTGCCTTTGAATGGGGTATGGTAGTAGGTGCCAGGTGCACCGGTTTATGTCAAGAACTGCAATGCTGCTGGGGTTTTCACGCTCAACAGTTTCCCGTATGTATCAAGAATGGTCCACCCACCAAAGGACATCCAGCCAACTTGACACAACTGTGGGAAGCATTGGAGTAAACATGGGCCAGCATCATGTGGAATCACTCAGAGATTTTATATTATTCCATATGGACTGTGAGATATCACTGCGATGACTATACACCTTATGGACAGACCGTACACCCTGTAGTACATTTCTGTAGTATGCTGTGTGTGTATTGCTCTATTGCTTCACATTTTCCTCAGTAGCCAGTAATAAATGTTCTTCATTTTAGTACAGGAGCTGCTGCTGTTAGTTTTCTCTCCCCTCCCCTCCCTCCCCCTTAACTCCTCTTCCCCTTAACTCCTCTAAAACAGCATTGTTGTTGATGTGATGCACAAAATAACTCTCACACGCAAACTTTTGATGCCAAGAAATTGATTTTATTCATTAAATGCATAAAGAAATTAGAAAAATGCAGAAATAAGTGAAGAGTTTCATTCCTAGATGCTATATATCCATTTTCAGAAATGCTGATAAATTAGATTTTATTGTTTAAAGAAATTATGAAAGAGATTGGTTTGTTTTTTCACTATCTAATCATGGCATGGGGTTGTTGAATGACAGACATGTATTTGATTAAAATCTATCACTTGATGGTTTCATTTCAGAGAGACAAATAATCATGTTTTTTTGCAAAATGCTATATTTTTTTATCAATACAGTAATATGAGATCTGTATGTAAAACATTTACCCCACAACCCCACACCTGAAGAAAGCATTGGATGGTTCGGTAATTGGGTTTCCCAAGGGACTCAATAGGCCAGCATAGCTGACCTAAGTTATAAATATAGAAAAAAGGATTGCTTGGTAGTGTGTATGTATCTTTCAAATCTTGGAATTTTCTCAAACCATTACTGTCCATGATATCGATAAGGGTACAGATTCCACATTTGGACCATTGGGGGGGATGCAAAAGGCCGCCCTCCGATCTGGAGGCATTATTGTGAAATATTGGAATATGGGCATGCCATTTTGATTCCCAGTTACATTGTTTTTACATTTTGCGCCAAATACAAATTGTGTGAGCAATAATAGTACCAAAGCGTAGTTTACATTGTTTAAGGGAGATATTAGTGAAGACCACTTCTTCCAGGGCAATAGGAAACACCATACAGTGCATTCGGAAAGTATTCAGACCCCTTGACTTTTCCACATTTTGTTATATTACAGCCTTATTCTAAAATTGATTAAATTGTTTTTTTCCCTCATCAATCTACACACAATACCCCATAATGACAAAGCAAAAACTGGTTTTTAGAAATGTTTGAAAATGCATTAAAAATGTAAAACTGAAATATCACATTTACACAAGTATTCAGACCCTTTACTCAGTACTTTGTTGAAGCACCTTTGGCAGTGATTACAGCCTCACGTCTTCTTGGGTATGATGCTACAAGCTTGGCACACCTGTATTTGGGATATATATCTGCAGATCCTCTCAAGCTCTGTCAGGTTGGATGGGGAGCGTCGATGCACAGCTATTTTCAGGTCTCTCCAGAGATGTTCGATCGGGTTCAAGTCCGGGCTCTGGCTGGGCAACTCAAGGATATTCAGAGACTTGTCCCGAAGCCACTCCTGCGTTGTCTTGGCTGTGTGCTTAGCATCGTTGTCCTGTTGGAAGGTGAACCTTCGACCCAGTCTGAGGTCCTGAGTGCTCTGGAGCTGGTTTTAATGAAGGATCTCTCTGTAGTTTACTCCGTTCATCTTTCCTTCGATCCTGACTTGTCTCCCAGTCCCTGCTGCTGAAAAACATCCCCACAGCATGATGCTGCCACCACGCTTCACCGTAGGGAGGTGCCAGATTTCCTCCAGACGTGACGCTTGGCATTCAGAACAAAGAGTTCAATCTTTGTTTCATCAGACCAGAGAATCATGTTTCTTATGGTCTGAGTGTCCTTTAGCTGTCATGTGCCTTTTACTGAGGAGTGGCTTCCGTCTGGCCACTCTACCATAAAGGCCTGATTGGTGGAGTGCTGGAGAGATGGTTGTCCTTCTGGAAGGTTCTCCCATCTCCACCGAGGAACTCTGGAGCTCTGTCAGAGTGACCATCGGGTTCTTGGTCACCTCACTGACCAAGGCCCTTCTCCCGCGATTGCTCAGTTTGGCCGGACGGCCAGTTCTAGGAAGAGTCTTGGGGGTAACAAACTTCTTCCATTTAAGAATGATGGAGGCCACTGTGTTCTTGGGGACCTTCAATGCTGCAGAAATGTTTTGGTACCCTTCACCAGATCTGTGCCTAGACACAATCCTGTCGTGGAGCTCTACGGACGATTCCTTCGACCTCATGGCTTGGTTTTTGCTCTGACATGCACTGTCAACTGTGGAACCATATATAGACAGGTGTGTACCTTTCCAAATCATGTCCAATCAATTGAATTTACCACAGGTGGACTCCAATCAAGTTGTAGAAACATCTCAAGGATGATCAATGGAAACAGGATTCACCTGAGCTCAATTTCGAGTCTCATATCAAAGGGTCTGAATACTTATGTAAATAAGGTATTTCTGTTTTTTATTTGTAATAAATGTGAAAAAATTTCCAAAAAACTGTTTTGACTTTGTGTAGATTGATGAGGATTTTTATTTATTTAATCCATTTTAAAATAAGGCTGTAATGTAACAAAATGTGGAAAAAGTCAAGGGGTCTGAATACTTTCTGAATGCACTGTATATCACCCATTATGATATCATGTCTCCCTGCAACATCAGCCTTCTGTGTCAACACCATTGTGATGTCACAGTTTTACATCAGTAATGACACATCATGTTGTATTTGACCTTACAGCAATAATAACCATGTTAATAATAACCATTTGATTATGTCACCATGACATCATGTATTGCAACCATGAAAATCCAGAGAGGTAAACATAATTAACCCTTCGCTAAGCCCCACTCCCCCTTGGTTACTGTTGCAACCTCGGACAAAATTTTCCCGTTAAGCCCATTTCCCCTTACGAACCACTGGCTAAATCCCCTCACAATGATCTCAAACTTTAATACACAATGAAATTAAACACAGATGACCCTGCTAATCAGGAAACT